ACACGTATAATACTTAACTATCATTCAAATGACCAGGCAACTAAGTGCAGTCAAATGAGCATTTGTGAGATTTATACATAATTGGGAATGAGGCCTATACTGTACATGCTAAATACTAACTTTATATTACGCTGAGATTCCTGCCCTCTGGGTGTAAAATATTCAAGTTTGTAGCTCTGTGATCACTCTGATTGGTGTGATTTATGGTTACAGTGATGTCACTGTTCTCCCTAAAGTACACTTTTTGATTATTGCAGCAAAAAGAGAAGTTAAAGCCCTGCATGGGAGCAAAAACAGGATTTACAGAAGGTGTTTAAATTATAATCTAGAAGAGCTCTGTTTAGTTCTCTCTGCGATAAGAGGTAATTGCAACGGGAGATCTCACTTTCCAGAGGTCCAAAGAGTGAATACTTTTCTTGAGAATGTTGTCAGAAACCCAGTTCATAACAATACAAGGGCTTCCATCAGTGGGATAGGCTCAATTTCCATTGTTTTACCTAATTCGGCAAGAGCTTAACAGACATACTGTACATTTAGGAGTTGTCCCTACTTTAAGTTAGTGCTTTTCTGCTTGCTTGCCCCTCAGCTTGCATTTTTTTCTTTTTGGAGAAACTTCGAGCAGCAGCTCCTGGCTAATTTTATTCACTGGTACTGTTATTTTTTTGAAGTACAGTATACGGTTGGCTTTTGCCATATTGCCAAACATTTTATTGGAATTACTTAGTCCTTCATAGATGACTACAACAAATGTTTACTAAAGATTGCAGTTGCTTGACATACAATGCATGATAGAGTAGTTTTGGTTTTAGCAAACAGTTGCACATCTAGACAATACAAAGAAACGCAGCCTTCTAGTGGAGTCAGTTACCACCAACTCCTGAGGGGAATATCTATCTCTTTACCTGCTAAAGGCTCCAATGCGTTCACAAGATTCTACCCGTCCTTGTATTTTGAGTGGGTCTAAGCGGCCAGAGTACAGTGCGTTTATTAGAGTTTTTTTGCTGAATGCAGTTGCTGGAAAAGTTGCTGATGAGAATGTTGAAACTGAACCAAAACAGTAAAGTTGTGGGCCATAAAACTTGAGCAATTAGCTGAAAGACTCTTGGTTCATAGACTGATCCACTCCTTCCTTCTGCTGAGAGCTGAACAGTACTCATTGATCTGGCAGCATCTGTTAAGTGAAATCCTTTGCAGCCTCTCTGGGAATTACCTGCTATGCAAACAAAGACCCTTGTGCCGTGTCTCCGGGAAGGGAAAAGGGTAATGGACATAACGGGAACTGTTTAAAGGTGAGGAGGCAGGAATGAATTCTCTGATAAGAGTCATCATGGCTCTCTGGGGCTTATGGGCAATGTTGGCTGCATTATCCCGAAAACATTACTCATGCTGCATAAGGACCTTGGACCTGTCCCCTCTGTAATTACGTAGAGTAATGAGGGCCACATTCACACATACAAGCACTTTCACACAAAAGAAAGCCAAAAAGACACAAAGTCCTTGCAGGGACGGCAAAGTGTTTATCTGCTGTCCAACACCGTCGCCATCATCCTTCATGTGTATATTATTATTTATGAGTACGTTGTTTTTGTTGCCAGCAGCCCAACTATAAATCGTGAAGCCATACACAACGTGGTTTTTATTGAGTACAATTTATAGAAAAATCAACAGAGAAAGAAATATTTCTGAGCTTACATTCAACCATCAAGTTTTCAAAAACCTGTTATTTTGTTGTCATTTAAAGAAATAAGAACTATAGAAATCGGCCACTTACAAATCAATGGCTCATACATTTTATATGTGCCCTCGGGAAGTATTCAGTAATCACAAGAAAACTTAAATTGCGTTGGCTGTCGATGACAAATGACGTATGTAGCACATCCAGCTTTTCTTAAGGGAAAGAGTAAAGTAGAAACAATCAAATCGATCCCACTTTGGTTCTAATATGGTCTCTGTAGGTAAAACAACAAGCTGAAGTTAGTTTGCGAATCTCCAATTGGACACATTTTACTCACTGTTTATCTGTTAGAGGTTAGTTTAAAGTTTGTGTTAAACTAATTCTAGTTTCCTGAGTGTATTGATATTGCAGCCTTGTTTTTTCTGAATACACTGAGTTGTATCCATGACACCAGGGTGGGAATTTCACGACGGCCATGGCCGCACTTTGGCCGTGATGCCCTGTGAAAAAAAATGCAATTCACGGCAAAAGTGGCCTTTGTGCCCCTGTCAAAAGTTCCAGTGTAAACAACGCTAGTGAAGTCATACTATAGTGCGCGCAGTAGGATAGTCCCGTGCCTGTGGATCAGAGCGATTGCTCTGCTGTGATTGTTCCGTCAGACATGCCGTGTAAACAACGCTAGTGAAGTCATATTAGTGCGCGCAGTAGGATAGTCCCGTGTCTGTGGATCAGAGCGATTGCTCTGTTGTGATTGTTCCGTCAGACATGCATGTAGGGGCCCGACAGCCTCCTCCTCAGCCGTGGGAACAAATCTCGAAGTTGCTTTAAAAGCGTCAGAACAGTGTTTTCATAACTGCATTATGCTGCGTTCACAACGGACGCGATGCGAATATTCTCATCGCTCTAACCGCTGGAGTTTCACCGCGGCTGTCAGCTATGTTTACTCCTGTCAATCAAACAGGACGCGCTGGAGAGGGGGCGGGGCTTATTTCAATGTAAATACTGTGGAGGAAACCAACTACGACAAAATTAACGTATTTTACCGTGATTTAATTGTAATACACGTTTCAAAATTATGCTGAAGTAACTACATACTGATACCGGTTAGTAAAAAACATGAATTAATGCTTTGCCAAGTCTGCAGACAAGACGGCAAGCGAAAAACCTTTTAAAATGCGTGTTTTCTGAATGGATCAATCAGGCTAAACTAACCTGTAGCCGCTCCGTCCACACTCACAACAACGTCCTAAAGACAGAATTAAAGCAGCGATTGTATTCGCCATGACAGTCTGTGGTTTGTACATGTTTAACTTTTGTCCAGTGAGACTGTGAGCACACACACACACACACACACACACACACACACACACACACACACACACACACACACACACACACACACAATGTATGTGCAGAGTTTGACCCTTGAAGGCTGTTTCTTCTGCTCTGATATTGAATATATTTGTTACATATTAATATCATTTTAGATGTTGTGATTTGATTTTGTGAATGGGAAAAGTAGATGGAAAACATACCAAACACTAATTATTCAAAGTAAAGTATTTTATTTTATATACGGTAATACTAAGGAGGCATAGGCCTATATGATGATATAATGTTTGACATTATTGATATTAAAACAGTGATTTGTTTTTCTTATCAGAAAGTGAAGTTATTTATTTGTCAGCTCCAAATCCAAATGTTTCCCTCAATGGCCTTTGTGCCCTGGCATGTGGCCTTTGCGCCCTGAAAAAATGTGTCACACCAAAGGCCAAATGGCCTTGCCCCTAAAATGACGAAATTCCAAGCCTGCATGACACATAATTTATTTCCCCTTACTTTGCCTGTGCTTGGAACGAGTGCCATTACTTCATCCTGCTTTATTTTTCCTTTGTAAGAAAATATCTCAATCATCTGAGGCAAAAGGAAGACATGTTTTATGGACGGGTGCTTCTGCTGGTGGAAGCTCTGCCTGTGTAGTGCTGTGATTAATGGCCAGTATTTGAGAGAAGCTACTGGTGTAAATCTCAGCCCTATTTTTATGCAAACCTCTGCCTGTCAGATGTAATAAAATCTGAAGATAGATGCTGCATCCATGCCAGGGTCAGACAGTGCATTGATGCAGTGTATGATGACGTATTTAGAGGGAGAAATGTGAGGTCGGGAGAGCTTGAACATCACTTCCAACCCCGCAGGAGACGTGAGTCAGCCCTCATGACGATCGTACCCATCCCCAAAAACGTCCCTTTGTTTTTGTCAAAATACTGTTTCTCTGCGACAGAAATGTAGATTTTTATAATAAAGTTACTCTTGACTCATTGGGCAATAAGTCACTGAGGTTATATAAAGTTAGATTTGTTAGTTTTATCGAAAAACTATTAAATGAGACAAGACAGTGACCATGAAGAGCAGCCTAGTATTGTCTATCATGCTTTAAGGTAAAACAATGTTCCTCTAGTTTTTTACATAACGCATGTAGGTTTTTAAAGGGCCCCTATCATATATTTTTGGGTTTAAACGTTCCTGTAATCTGTTCGTGTCCGTGTATAACCTAAAGTCAATGTTGATTTATTTAAACTTTTGTCTGTGACTTAAAAAACAAGAGCGTTTTTATTTAAAGCAAAACCTTTAGCTTTACTTAACCTGACACCACAGGTTTAAAACGACATGTTTAATCCTGTAAATCAAGTCTGATAGGATCAGAATGGGGGATACGCATGCCTTATCTTTTTATTAGAGACTTATCGGTTAGAGCAAATGCAATCTGATTGGATAAATGCTCTCAGAGTAGCGGTAAAACTACATTAATAAACTGATATGAGCTAACTTTGTCAATCACATATAGCAATAACGAAAAACACATCTATATCTAGAAAATCAAATGTTCTAATAATGACTATCTCTAGGCCAGTAGAAAGCCTTGCTCTGCCATTGTCACCTCTCCTATCACTCCTTGTACTCGCTCACACAGCCCTGCAGAGAGCACGCCGTTGTGAAATGTCAGCGAGATAAGCAACATCGCCTTGCTGCTCCCCAGAGAGCACAGAGAGGAGGAAAACACAATTACAGTAATGAGGAGTGGCCCCACACAGCAGGCATACCTCTGTGATTACAAGAAGCAGCATTTACATCAGGAGGGAACCACGAAGGTGAGGGACCTGAGCTATGCCAGAATGTTTTATTTCATACTCTCCCGCCTCATGATGACAGTCTATCATAACTGTGCCAGGGTTGGCTGTGATTGATTCCGCTGAAAGCCTGTCATTTGACGGCACGACGATAACCTATATGAATCACATTTATGGGAAATACCTGTTCAGTCGTGAGTAATTGGATTCTGATGTGATTTCAAAATGGCGATTGGTTTTTCCAGGACCTCACAGTTGAACTCTCATACTCTTGAGTGCATATACTGTACAGTGTTAGGGCAAAATATCCAACCCATTACCAGTAACATGTAATTAGTTGGAATGAATGTACAGTATGTTCTCAGATTTATGCTGTTGAACTGACACTGTCACAGTGCTTCCTGACCTGAGTAAGAAGCTAACGGGCCAGGATGTTACTTCCTTTACTTTGAGATATTTTGGTGTCATGATCCTCCCTTCTGCACAGCTTGCTAAAAGAACCATTGTCTGATTGATGAGGGGTAGATGACAGTTAATGGGACAGACATATTCAAATGGGAGTGTAAGACTCCAATATAGTTTTAACGTTTTTACAGATTCAATGATTAAGTTCTTCTAACATTTCCTTTTAAAAACCAGATCACTGTTGAACATTTATTAGGATTATATTGTTTTTTTGGTGTGACCACGCTGTGGTCACTACAATAGCGTTCCTACACAGATGTTGAAAAAGGTAATGTTAAGAACATAAAAGATAAGAAGTCCTTTGTTTAGAGAATCATTGTAGTTTGGGTTAAATTACACATTTGTAACAGTTAGAGGCATTATGCTCATTTTCAGATCATATAAGTATTTTATGCCTTGACTGTGACATGTCTCCATGCTCTAATGTTCAAAAAGGTCTTTTTTTTTCTCATACTGCCTGTGCTGCAGCACCTCTTTTCACCCTCTGTCTGAAACCAGAGCCCAGTCTGCTCTGATTGGTTAGCTGACCTGCTCTGTTGTGATTGGTCTACCGCTTAGAGATGTCCCCCCCCCTCTTAGTCTATCATGTACAATGTGTTTGGGAGCTACCCCATAGAAGTGCAAGTGTTAAATACAGTAGTGATTGCGGTTCAGGCAGGGAATTTAGAATTTGAACCTTTGCAGACCATTTGCATGCATCAAAAACATATATAACAAAATGTTACCCAGCATAACCCTTTCAATACGTAAATAGAGTTTATTCAATTTTCCACACTGACTTTCTTTGAATCATCGCTCCACAAAACATAACCCTCAGGTGTTGTATTCTGTGAATAAGAACACTCAATTATGAATACTTTGTTTACTTCGACATGTTCCCTGTTTTCATTTTCCACCTTCTGGCTACTCATTTTTTCTCCCTCTCACCCTCCAATTGTTTTCCGCGCCTTCAGCTTTCAGGGACATCTGCCTTTGCAGCCCCAGCCTCGGTGTGTTTTTATTTCCTTTATTGTTGCATTTGTAATCTTAAGGGTGCGCTTAGTCATTCTATCAAAAATCAATTAAAACAATATTTAATACTCTTTTTTTCGATTCTTAATAAGCATGTGGCTGTCTTGACTACAGCACATATTCAGAAATCCATTATTTATTGACACACTGCAGTTTCTGAGCTTTATTGATTTTAAAAGCGAATGTTTCACATGCCTCAGAAACAGAGCTGCACACCCACTGTGTTGGTGTATTTTGGGTGTTTTTCTTTTCTTCTGATCCCCATCCTCTGCCCTGATTCGATCTGTGGAGATGCTGTTGACAGGGAAGAGAGCAGCTTTCTGCTAAGCCGTGTGTGAGCAATGCTTTCTGCAAGCTTTGTGCTTTAGTGTAGGTGGTGGTGTTGTTGAAGTTTAAAGCTGGGTTTTTATTTGTGTCTGAACTTTACAAACAACAGAAATTATTGAACCCGATGTCCAGTCACAGTTTGCAGGAGATCTTTAGGCATAACAAGAGGAGCAACAGGAGCAGTGTGTTCCACTTTGGCAGTGTTTGCGTTAATACATTAAACTGAATCTTGGACTGACATATAATCTAATGAGGAACGTCTCACACATTACCCCAAACCCCTGACAGGTTGTAGGGTTTAGCACTTTGTACCTGTCACACTGCTATACTAAAGCAATTACATGCTGTATTAGGCACTGTTCAGAGTCAAAAGTTCAATTCAATTTTGAAAATGAATCTCTTTATAGCAGACACCTTTCCCTGTGAGTATGCATTTTAACCACTGTTAGTCTTGTATAAAGGATATACTATCTCATTGATTGATTTCCAAATGTTGTTATAAAAGTACCCTGACTTCACCCTTTTCTCTACTGAAGAGGCCCTGTTTGCCTTTGGGTGTTTTCCCTTCCCCTCCTGTAGTGTGTTTCATAGGTTTTTGTGCATGTAAATGGTCTGCAAAGGCTTAAATCCCAAAGGGAGTTTCTCATTCATCCACTCCCCCCTGCCTTAAACGCCTTAATTGAACTCCTTTGTTTTCTCCAACATAGCGACATCACTATGTAACTTATGTTGGCTAGCCCTCCAACACATTGTAGGTGACAAGTTTAGGGGTGGGACATTTTTTTGTTGTTGTCCAATCACAACGGAGCTGGCCAAAGAGGCCCTATTGTGCCTTTTGGGGTTATCCCTTTCCTTATGTGTGTTTTATGTTTTGATGCATGGGAATGGTCTACAAAGGTTACAATTCCCTGCCTGAAACGCAACCATTATGTAACACTTGCACTTCTATGGGGTAGCTTCCAAACACATTGTACATGATAGACTAAGAGACGGGACATTTCCGACACATCTCTAAGCTGTTGACCAATCACAACAGAAACGGCCAGCTAACCAATCAGAGCAGACTGGGCTCTGGTTTCGGACAGAGGGTGAAAAGAGGTGCTGCAGCACAGGCAGTATGAGAAAAGTAAATAACTTTTTGAACATTAAAGCATGGAGACATGTCACAGTAGAGGCACAACATACAATTATGAACCAGAGCATGGGCATAATAGGCCCTCTTTAGAGCTGTTAGAGTCACGATTTTCAAAAAGGGCAGTAAAACATAGGAAAATTGCTATGCTCAAAGCAAGATTATTCCTTTGGGCATAATTAATAAGTGTACGTGTTTAGATGCTGCTAATGTATTGAGCGTTACACGTTTGAATTTCCCCTGTGAGCTCTCAGAGAGGGTGAACTCTTTTTCTCTAGTATTTTAATACCCTGTGAAGGAAAGCTGCTTATGCAAACAGGCTCCCTTGGTACACCAGATTTATGCAAAAAATGGTGTAGGAAAAGGCAGAATATTTTTGTTTATGTTGGTCATTCTTCACCAGCTGCTACCGCATGCAGCATGATTTTTGCTTGTTTTGTGCAAGCTGCTTTTAAAATGGAGCAAACAGGAGAGAACAAAATGGAAATAAGTTGAGATTCGTGATTCTTTAATAAACATAAAAAGGTCATTTGTTCACGGCGCAAACATTGCTGGATTTATTTTCACCTTTTATGTACAGACAATTCATATTTAAATCATGTGTTCTGTTTTCCCTCCACCTGAAATCACACTTAATTAGCAACGATTTATCTCAATTCTCTCATCAAGATATTGTGATTAAAGTGTTGTTGACTTAATTACCTTCATTCCATTTCTTCCTCAGCGGCATTGGTTAATTAAGATAACTGGACTGGCTGATTAGCCCCACCTCCTACTGCTAATTAGGATTAGTGTGCACAGCCGATATATCATTGATGGTGGTGATAATTATAATGGCTGCGTTGATGGAAATTAGGCCGAGTGAGTGAGAAGGAACAAGCAGTACCAGGTTGAATGAGAAATTAATGTATGTACACTTGAGATGGGTTGAACTCACAACTCGATTGAAAGCAAAAAAATGTAACCTATTGAACTAAACATAATATTGACTATAATTATCTTGTGTGAGAATATACTTGCATTGACTTAAAAGGCCAGACAAAATTGAGACTCCAATAAGCAATAGAGCCAGCCCGTTTGTCCGCCGGAGCTTTTTCCTTACCTTTCTGTTTGTTCTCGGTAAGGATGACCTTCAAAAACTTGCCAATGTTTTTCTGCCTGGTAACTTCTGAAAGGCTGCTCTAATGGCCAGGTATGACTTGTTTACTTGTGGATAAAAAAGAGAAAATACTTAATAATACCATAAAAAGAGGCCAAAAGCAACAGTGTGTTAATTCATCCCGCAGTACTTCTCTCTGCAACGATTAGCTCAGAATCCATTGTTTACATTGTTTTGTAATGTCTTTTTAAAAGGTAAAACTAATTACATTTTTTTTTGGGAATTGACTCTAAATAACAATCACCATGTTTATTGTGATGAAGGAACAAGTGAGGCTCATTAATGTTTTTTTTCTCCAATAATGGAGATCTATGGCACAGAGGAATAAGCTACATCAGGCTTTGGCTGCATGGAAAATTTGTAGGATTAAGAGAATGGATGCACTCCCCAGACAACTAGATGCGTTTTAATGTCATGCAGATTAAAGAAGTGATGTGAATTTATTATGGAAAAAAACAACAGAACTACTCAGAAAAGCTTCTTAGTAAAACGTGACCACATGAACTGATAAACAAGGCAATTTCAAATGTAAAACTAATACAGCAGATAAAGTGATGTCGCTCAGGTTCTTGCCTCAAGAGGCGTTATGTTAATAGAAAATAAATCATGGCTGTTTCATAATCTATATTTAACAAAGAAGGACTGCACCTGACGTTAGTAGACTGTAATATATTATATTTTTAGTTATATAATACCTATGTTTATTTATATATTGCATTTTTTTTAATGTAGCATGCTGTTTCAAATTATAAATGTCTAATTCAGAAGCGAAACTCCTAAAGCATCAATGTATTGCACATATTGCCAACCAATCATTTGGGCCCTCACCCAGTTACAATTAATATTTTAAGCTCAAGGACAGAATTGTCTCGGTGGCTTAGGCCTGCCATTAACGCACAGTTAAAGCTCTGCCTGTGTTTCCACAATAGAACCGCACCGGCTCATTTTCACAGCTCTACTTTAGCAATAATTGATATTCATGATGTGTGGTCTCAAAGCTGCCAATTAACTTCAATGTAAACAGACTGGGGGGCGGAGGATGGTTTACTGTACTCAGGCGTGTGTGTGTGGTGTGTCAGGGAAAGCTTGACAATGCATATTGAATTCAATGGGGTATATAAGATGTGATACACTGTATTTCATACTAACAAATCAGCATGTCATTTATTTCTAAAGAATGCTCGTGGTTAAAAAGTTTATTCAGTTAAGCTTAGCTGGAATATGTTCCTTTTTTTAATTCTTCTGGTGCCTTTTCCAGAATATTAAGTAAACATTCAAACATATAGCTCCACATTTTTATTATTATTTTTCTGTTTCTCCACAGGAGCAGCTGACAAGAGGAGCATACAGCTTGGCGGCTTACAGGTAGGTCAATAAACACTTTCACAAACCTCACATCATCACCTGATTTTACTGACCGCAACAACATAAATATAATTTGAGCTGAAATCTTGTCAACCACCCTGCGGGACGAAAAAGTAAATAGAAACACACTTGGTGATTTTTGGCGACACTATCTAAGCGCTGCAGTTGACTTCCTGTGGTGTTTGAAATGACTGTGACCCCTGTTGTTGGAGATAATATCCTCTGCATGGGGAACAACAGAGGCAGGCAGCAGCATGCAGTTCTGTTTACCCTGATGTCTTTCTAAACAGTCTTCATTACTAAAATGACCTTAAAGGTTTTAGTGGTTTCAGTGCTCAGCCTTATTGTTATTGACCTGGTTAATTAAGGAGTAGAATGGTTTAACCCTTTATGCCCTTTATTGTCTATAGCAGAAGATTTCTTCACATCATTTCTCACAATTTTTTTCTCCAAAATGCCCAGTCGAGAGTTGGACCACAACTTTTGCCAAAAATTGTTTGAAAGAAATTCAGTGAAGCTAGCGTCTTTTGTGTTTTCTGTCAAGTTGGTATCTACTATGCAGCTGAACTCATCCCATTTTTGACTTTCCCTACTACTCTTTGTATTTCTCAGTTCGGTCATTTTAGTTTTTTTACAGTTTCCAGTATAACAATGAATCCCATTTGCTGCTGTTTTATACCTCTGGTCAGATTTTTCGTGAAATGTCTAAAATAACATTTTCTTGAGCAGGGAATAAATATGGTGTTGCTCAAGAGTGAAAGATAAGTCAACTATTTGGGAAAATAATATATTTTTACTTTTGATTTAATCTATTTTAACATCAAGAAAGCACTAGCTCTGTGAATGAAATATAGGTAAAGACAGGGATCTGATTATATCAAAAATAAATGTCTGATCGTGTACCACATACAACGCTTTTCCGATTCAAACTGTGTGTGTGTGTGTGTGTGTGTGTGTGTGTGTGTGTGTGTGTGTGTGTGTGTGTGTGTGTGTGTGTGTGTGTGTGTGTGTGTGTCCCCATTATTGACAGTCGTGGTTTATGTTTATTATTATTTATTAGGATCCCCAGTAGCTTTTGCTCTCGACAAAAGCTACTCTTCCTGGGGCCCGACACTTAAAACAATACAACAATAATACAGCAACATTTAGGACATAAGTCCTGACATCATTAACAACATTAAAAACATCACCAATATCATCAACAACATGCGATCAAATTAAATTAGGGCTCACAAGGGTACATGGTCATTAGTAGATGGCCCTTCAATCTCTTCTTGAAAGAGGCTCTGGACTCTATTTCAGCAAGGTAGTTTGGCAATGAGTTCCATTCCTTTATAGCTCTATAAGACACAGAAGATTTCAGAAGATTTGTCCTGGGCTTAGGTGCCAGTAGATGGCCTGATGTAGCTTGTCTATTCTTATGCTCATGCTCGTCTCTTGTGTAAACTATTTGATCATAAAAATACAGTGGTTTTTTACTAAATTAGAATTTTTTTAGAAAAGTGATAACACGAGATTGCAGACGTTTCTCAACTGGAAGCCATGATGGGTTTCTATGCATAACTCCAATATGAGTGCGCTTCGAACAGTGGAGAGCTAGTCTTTTTTTTGAGCTATTTGTAATTTCTGTAAATGTGTTTTTGCTGTTGATGACCATATGACCGGACAGTACTCAAGATGTGACAAAACCAGAGACTGAATGACTTGTTCATGGTAGTGCAAGCCACAGTAAACAGGAGAGCAATCTGTATTGGTTTCCTGTTTACTCCAGGGTGAATAATTCATGATCTGCTGACAGCTCGGGTTTCACAGTGCACCATACTGAACTCTGTGAACAATGCCATGGCTGTGTCAAATGTTCATAAACTGTCAGGTTTAACAGGGTGAATGATACTGTCAGGTGAAGGATCTGCTTCCATCACTGCGGACCGTCACACAGGAACTCACACCTTCCCCAGAGCCATTAATATTCCTTGTGGCATTTTGAGGAATCTGCAAAAGATGCAGCTCAACATGGCTGACTACTTTGATTAGTTCTTAAATAATTGAGCAATGCAGTTAAAAACATTTCCAGTTAAAACTTGGCTATCTGAACAAACACAGTTTCATGCAGCCGGACAATAAAATATTTGTGTAATTTAAAGTTTTTGCAGTATTTACTCATATAGGATCAACTATTGTTAATTAGCTTTTCTAGTATTTAGTCATATAGAATCATATTTTTCATATATGCACAATTGAATTACCTTTTTTTAATTCAAAAAAATATATTGTCTGAATCTTATATATAGTAATACAGCTCATAAACTAGCAACATATAACAAGACATTTAATAAACCTGTCAGCATTATTTCTAAACCCATTAACCAGCTATTTTTCATTAATAAGACATAGAAAAAATAGAAGCATAAACATAGAAGGGAATAAACATGGTAAGATGAATCTCATGTGGAGTTTAAACAGTTAGATAGAAAATCCAATTCAAAAGAAAGGTCTTTGCGGACTTAAATTAAATCTTTTTTCTTAGAGAGAACAATTAAAATGCTACGTGAAAAAATAACAAAAACCTGACAGCAAAACTTTTAATTGGTTTGCAATTTATTTAGATTTTCTGAAAAGCTATTTCTGAGATGACAGAAGCGCCTCTGACATTTATTCAAGTGGGTTTTATTGAGTCATTTTCCATGCTGACTTGGATGGTGACTCATTTATGCGTTGATAATTAACTAGCAGCCATTTCACAGTGAATTCTTTCTTTGGAGCTCCTGTGTGCAGGCTTATGGTGATGACAATGCAATCTGTTCCAACTCGCCGCTGCCGCCTGCTTCAGGTTGCTGCTTCATTGGCTCTGACCTCAGGTGTGTGAAGGCAAGTCTCTGGACCTCGAGTCAGAGGTACAAGCAGTAAGCAGTGGTAGCAGTGTTGAGCTGTAGCCTAAAATGACAGATGAGCCTTTCAAAAAAGGTGTGTTTCATGTTCAAAGCTACATTTGTCAATGCAGGTCACCTTCAATGCCTGTTTCTTTTCAGATACTCTTGAATCCCAGATACCGCAGTTTCTTGCATCACAGCTGTTCCTTTTGCACAATCTACAAGGACAATTATTTAAGACAAGAATATAGGAAACAGATATTTAACATTACAATTACTGGGGACCAAATAAAGGGATTCTGATTCAAGAGTCCTTAATGTACACTTGACCTGGGATTGATTCTGTATTTCATTTTAGGATTGACTGGTGCACAAAACTGTACGGAGCCCCTAAGGGGACATGGACAAAAAAAAGCGTTCTTGTGCTCATTGGAAAGTTAATAAAAAAGATTTATTTATGTTGTCTTTGTAGGATTGAACATCGTCTACTATTACACCTATGTATTTATTTGAATGTATTTTTGATATTTTTTCAGTATGGATAACAATAGGGACTTTATGACAGCTACATCTTCTCTGTGCAAGACAATTCAGTTAACTTTAGCTTTCACTTCACTCTGTAAGGTCACAGCTTTGTTGTCACCTCAAAGCCGTGAGTGACGTTTTCACCACATCTGGGTTTGACAGCACTTTGACTACTGGCCATTACCGTTCAGCCTATCTCAGCTCAGTCTCTTCTCTGTTCAGAAGACAGTGTTTTATACTGAGTGGGCACATACAGTTCATTGTTTCCCATTGAACAGTGGTTGCCACTTCACTTTATTGCAAATGTCACTCAAAGTCTTGTTACTGACTTTTGGAGGACGCTTGGGGAAAAACAAACTGTATTAAATGTGTGTGTCCCTCAGCCTAATGAAATGACTTGCTACTATGCTACTGGCTCCAAACGTGAATTCTCTTCAGCAAATTCAATATTACTTTTTTGTATTGTAGGCAATTTGCTGGGGTTTTTCTGGTTCTTTACTTTACTGGAAGTGAAATATGTTCTTTTAGAGAACACTCCTTCTGTCAATTTGTCTCCAAGCCTAGGAACCAGATGGTTTAATTCACTATTTTCAACACCTTCTCTCTACCTAAGAAACGGTAGTCTTGGGCAATGGTTGGGATCAGTTTATTGAGTGATGGTTATCATTCACAGACCATTCTCATACTTTAGCAACCACAATACTGTCTGTTTTGTGAGCCAATGTTGAAGTACTAAATAAAGTTTAGTTTAGAGTCAGTCGATTGGATTTATTTAAAGTGATAAAGTTGTATTTCGTTGTTTTGCGCAAAGGAAGAGGCACAAAACCCATGGGCTTATTTGTAGCCTCCACCTAAATAATATTAAAAATCATTCATCATCAAAATTATAAAAATAAATTAAATAATTTTGGCACACTTAAAGAAAGACACATACTAAAAACATCAATAAACTGACATGTAAAACATATTAAGTGTGAATAATGAAAAGAAGATACCATATACAGTAGCAGTCAAACGATTTTTACGGCATTTTTTCAACAAATCCATACGGAACTTTGTTTCATTAAAACTAGCGTGTTGCATGAAAAATGAACCTTTTGAATTACATATTGAAGTGTATGGGAATGTTCCCTTTACCTGAACTTAACGTGTAAATATAAACACACATTTGCTCAATGTTAATGTCATGGTAAGAATTTGAAGCCTGTCAAATAAAAGAGCAGATGACATATGTGACTGCGATCTGGTTGCAACCCTCAAAGTGTTTCTGGAGAGCATTTTTTAGCAAAACCAAGATCAGAGGAATTTGGCTGATACCAACAATATTTCTGTTTCTCTCTGGGACTGTACAATGCAAATAGACCATCCCATTAGAAATCCAGCTGACGGAGAATAAATCTATACTGGCGGTAGACTGCAGAGTACAGTGTGAATGCCGTATTTCTTGCAAAATGTTAAAGCTTTCACGCTAATGTAGTGGAATCATTAGCTCCTATGTATGTAGCTTTTTCTCTCTCTACAGTGCCTAGAATAAACAAGTCATTATATTTCCCATCCCCCCTGCATTGCTCTCTGTATGGTGACTGTAGTGTCTCTTTACTTTACTTGTGTGCAGCAAGCATTGAAATAGCAGTAGGAATTTTTTTTTAAGTGCAGTGTGGTTTTAAGAAAATCGTGGTTGTGCTGAGACTCAGCCACGGTTGATTCTGAGGCTTCAGACAAGATAAAAATGTCTGTGTTTCACTTTTAATGTATTACTGCTATTGGTTAGATTTGTATTGCTCACACAGATACCTTTTGCCCACGTCGTATTAATTGCACAAACAGATGTTCTCATCCCCGCAGACTACCTGCTTACCCTGAATATAAATCCATATTCAGTTTGGCATTATTATTGTGGAGACTATTGCTTTTCATTTTAAAAACAAACATCATTGGTCATTTGTTAGTCATTACATTGTCTGAAAATGTATGAAAAAGGCTAATTTTTGCACATGCTATAATAGGAATTATGGCACTACTTTCACAGGAATTCTTTATTGTTTCATAATTCCTCATATTTGAGCCAAAACTGTATCCCATGTGAACTTGACAATTAAACTTATCACAGTAAATGTTCATAATAGCCTGCTAGTGATTGCTCTGATGATTTACCAGTGTTGCCTGTCAGTAGGGATGGGTATCGTTAGGATTTTATCGATACCGCTTATCGGTATCTGTATTTTTCGATACTCTTATCGATACTTTCCAATCATTTGGTGCTCAAAATTATATACATGAATACAAGATGTGAAGATTAAACAGTAATTTTATTGTAATTTTCTTGCAGAAATAACTGTATAACTTATACATTAGCCTCTCAGAAGCAGACACAAATAAATAAAATACCTTAAAGGGGCCTGGCTCGCCCTATCATGCTTGTTGGGGTTTTACATCAGACAGAGGATGAAAAGAGGCATTTTTTTAAAATTTTTTTAACATTTGTAAATCAGTTACATCTTCATCCTGACATTTCAAACTGACAAGCTAGTAGCTCGAAAAGAGATCCTTAAAACATTGTCCTACAGTGACATCATGCAAAACTTAGATATGAAGAAATTGGTAAAAAGGCTAAAATGGCAAAAAGATAAAGGCGAGTATGTATATTGTTCTGGATTATACTTTTAAATCTTCACAAAATAAATGATGTGCTGAACTGGAACACGTCAAAATGTGTCTGAAGGTTTAAACATAGAACAACGTATTTGAGGTTAAAATATGTCAATTCCTAGTAAACAACCAACAATTGCTGAACCATACATTGAAACGTTGACCTTTAACAACATTTAAATGCAGTTTTCCAATTCACAATGACATCTCTAAGTTTAACTGGTTTATAAAGCATTCAATGAAAGGCCAAATTATTATAGGTATAGGAGCTCACATTAATACACTGTCAGTGTCAGANGAGTTCTCGCTGCTGCGTGCGTTTTAATTAAAGTGTGCCAATGCTGGACTGCTTAGGGAAGAAGCTTGTATGAGTGTTGCAGGCCTCCGACTAACTTGGAAGCAGTCTGCCAAAAAGATGCTAAAATTACCGGGTGGTACGCGGACTACATCGTTTTTAAAGCGTCGGTTCGGGATGGCTCCACAGTCAGGATGCTGGTTCGATGTGGCTAGGGAGGATCGGTATGAAATGTTTAATCCCGGTAATTCTGTGGCGCTGCGTAGAGTGTCCTTGTTGGTGTTGTCTGGTGTGTTATGTTTTTTATGTCGTTCATGTGGACTATAGTGCATGTCTCGCTTTGAAAAAGTAGGTTCATCTGGGTCTCAACTGGGATTTATTACCTGCGCATAAATAAAGTTGTTGAGATTGAAGGCGAGGCATTAACGCAAGCTCAGCGTCAAACTGCATAAACTGGAGAGATAATGTGCTTACAAGTGGTGTACAGGAAGAACAGGGGTATGTTTTTTTCGCAGAGAGTGTTAAAAAAACAAACATGGCGAGTGATTAACCTACGTGTTTTACTGGAGACATTAACGCGAACTGAAGTGAATTGTTTATCATTAAGATGCTATTCGGGTGTTATCCGAAAGCGTCCGACAATAAATTTGCGTTGTTGTATGATGTTATTTTGACGTTATTTGTTTTGATGTTAGTGGGGTTAATGATATTTTATAGTATCTTTTCTGGTTAGTGATAGGTGATAGTATGTAATTAAGAGAGCGATAATGCCACAGGCGATGGTACACAGCGTATCCAAAGCTCTTTAGGCAGCTGGGTCGAGAGCAGCATGTGGAAAGGCAGATCACCAGAACCAGCGATACTGGAAAAAGCATTGCCGCAGAGAGTCAAGAGGGGTGTTTCTTGGGCGTCGTCGAGAAGGAGAAACCGTAATTTTAAAGACAACGTTCGGTTCAGGTGTGACTTGAAAGATAAGTTCTGATTCAATAATAAACGCTAGACTATGTGTATGTGAGTGAGCGCTTTCAATTCAATGTCAGGCTCCCTGCCCCAGACAAATGTTGGGCGCCGAGCAAAGAAGTTAACCTTTTTGCCATTTGGAATATCAGTGAGTTTGGAGTTGTCTGCCCATTGTTTAGATTACTATGACTGAGTGAGATAAAGTGGCTGGGCGGGTGGCGTGGGTGATGAGTAACGACAAAGGCGCCCAGCACTGGAGGAAAGGTCAAGACTTTGCCGGTCTATAGAAAGGCATGGGACAAGTAATAGTAGGACAGGTTAATCACGTCGCCTAAAAATGGAAAGGCAGCAGTTTTTAGGAACAAGTTATTAGAGGATTATTGACCGATCAGTATGCCCGTCTTGAAACATTATTGCGTCCTGGTTAATGATGGACAGCGCTTGGCGCCGGACACGCTGTTCAGAATCAAATCAAGGTCAAATCAAGTGTTGTCGACGCGTAGCTCGGTTGGGGGTATATAGCTCACAGTGTATAAACGATTTACCGTTGGGTCGAGCCAAGAACGTGCCTGTACAAACTAATAAACAATACCGGCCTACATACAAAGACATTTACAGCTAAAACACACACGCCGTTTGTCTAGAATCCATCAGTCCATGAGAAGCGAAAACGACACCCTCTGTCCTCGACCTCCACAGCTCGCAGCAAGGAAGAAGCCTCCACAGACGAAACCACACGCGGCTTAAAGGGGCAAAAAGAGAACACCTCAGGGAGACGCAACACAGAGGAGTCCCCGGTCTCCACGGACCGGCCACAGAGCGTCGCACCATAGATGCCCGTGTGCTAATATCGAATGAATCTAATCACTTCTCCAACCATCAGGTAGAGCATCCATGCTTTCAGGATAAGCCATGCCCCGGGGTCTATATCAATTCTTATGGGCGCGATCGCGCAATCACCGACAGATGGTCATCACAGGATCCTGTGGGCAGCCTTCCAGCGGGAGCAGCACGACGGACCGACCCAGGCCAGACAGCAGAGAGCAGTTCCAGCCCACGACCCAAGCTCCACATACTCAGACACCTCGAGACTACGAGGATCCCAGGCTGGGACCACAGCCCACGCGAGGCATTCAGCCCGCCCCACCATCAAGCACACAAAAGAAGAAAAACTCTTGGCCCGCGGGTTACACTTCGGAACCATCTCTCGAGCACATAACACGACTTACAGCAGACACGAAAGGCAGAACACAGCAGTCCCCTACTTGCGGAGTGACTCTTTTTTGCCTACAACTGATTGAAGTTAAATGCCATCGCCACTCTCCGCGTGACCCTCATGACGACGCCACCTGAACGAAGATACTACTGGCACTACCTCCTCAAAGTCCACATCGGAACAAACGTTACAACGATGGTCTCTTTTCGTCTTCACGCTGGACTTTCCCGCGATTGTGCGACTCGATTGACTTGCTCGCGCACATCTTCATCTCTTACTACATCTTCGAACATCTATCTATATAGAACACCGATAGCTCCCTCCTCATCGCCATAATACTATAACTTCTTGATCAATTCCTGCATCAATACTACATCAAACCCTTAACCATCAAACGACGCAACTCAGTCACTTAGCAGCTCACCCTTTCGCTAACGAAACAAGTCCTGTTACATGTGAAGCATTTAGTTGGTATGGTATTGCATTTTAAATTGACACTGCATACCGCTTAAGAGAAAATTAGTCGTTGTTACTTGTTTGAACAAACTACCAACGGCGACCTGCACATATGGTACATATTACCTTACCATTATTACGTGCTATATACTTCGTGTGACCTTCGACTTTCGTTCTGTGTGTCGCGGGTCTCCTCATTCGTCTTGTTCTTGTCTTCAAGTTTTATTGATATTTTCTCAAGCTTTTTATCTTGTTGGTTCTTAGCACTGAAGCGTCAGCTAGAATGCAATTGATAATAATGATCAAAAAAACCGCTCTACTGACTCTAGACAGCTGGGTAAAGTACCGTAACAGCCGAATCACAGGATGCGTGACGTCTTGACGTCAGTTACGTCGTAGACGTCACTTGCGCTAAAGAGACGCGACCCTGACACACATATGGTACCCCGAACACATCTTTTGTGTTGCTACCGACACCGCATCTGCGCACAGAGGCCGCTACTCCGTGGTATCTGTGGCTATCTGGGCCAGATGAGTATATGCCACAGAATCCAGGGCGACTGGCCACGCGACGTTCGGGACGAATCCGATGGGCCGTACTGAAGTGGCCGGTCGGACGATGTGGCGGCCGGTAACCGGCAGGGCTCGACGCATTATATGCCCGCCTGGCCCGGAAAGCACTATTTAGACTCACCCGGGCAGCATAACGCTCTCCTTCCACATTGCCACTCGGCCACTAAAATTATTGCTTTAAAAGATTGTCCTGTGGTATTGTTATTTTGACAAGCAAATTTAGTTAAATGGCTTCGTTTATCAAACGCTACAAACATAGAGCCTTCCGGATCGGTTGTCGTTGTTGGGGTGAAAAGCCAAACAGCTGTTTTAGTGCGCAGCGGAGCGCCAGCGCGAGCCAGCTCCCATGAGCGGAGCGCGCTCCTTCACTTACGGACTATAGCGCCAGCCTAACCATTCGCCCAAAATGTTTAGGTACCAGCCGGTAACCGGCCAAGCCCGCCGGGCAAAAAACATTCTTCAAATAAAGAAAGTTACCGAGGATTAAAGGAGAGGACAGGGAGCATTGAGAAGAGAGGGAGCAGAAAGTTCAAGCCGTTGATCGATGGAGTTGCTTTCTCAGCTGGTGCAGTGACGCGCCTAAACCCTTTTCTATAGCTATCGATTAGATCTTATGATTGAAACATGTATAGAATGGAGGGTAGGACAGTGCGAGATTATGCGGCTGAACAAAACGTGCATTTATTCAAACAGGTTTGTTCTTCCACAGACCTATTTCCAGGCTATTTTCCAAAACCCTTTAGAAATAGCTGGAAATAAGGTCTGTGCAGAAAACAGAACGCTGTGTTGATAAATGCACGTTTTGTTCAGCCGATAAGTCCTCCACATGTGCTACCCTACTTCTATAATGTTCAAGCTATCAACATTCTAATCGATAGATTATAAAAGGCGTTTTGGACGCGTCACTGCCCACACTAGGAAGCCAACGTCATCATCAAGCTGCTGAACTTTCTCTTCTCTCTCCTCTTCTTCGCATGTCCCTGTCACTCTCGTTTAACTGCCTCCGGGGTAACTTTCTTTTATTTGAAGAAGTTTTTTGCCCGGCGCGTTGGCCGGCGTTCACCGCGTATTACAAAAACATTGGCGAATGGTTAGGTGGCGGCATAGTCTTAGCTGAAGGAGCCGTGCGCTCCCGCCATGGGGAGCCTGCCTCGCGCCTGCGCTCCGCTCCGCACTAAAACAGCTGTTGCCTTTTCACCCAACAACGACAACCGACTCACGGAACATCTATGTTGTAGCGATTGATAAACGGAACCATTTAATCCTAACGATTGCTTGCTCAAGAAT